TTATCATGAGATTTGGACCATAAGAGATAGGACCATATGCCTTTCGAGAGGGTTCTATCAGGCATTTTACAAAGATGTATTGACCGATACTATGCCTTTAATAGGTTTTATTCTTGTATGATTTTGGGCCACCTACATTTCCAGATTGAGAACTGACCACAACTAGAATAAACGAACGAATAAATTGGTTGGTTCAGTCCATTTTTATGCTTTAAACCAATAAATTTGAGTCATCAAAGGAGAATAAATGGTTTTGAGTTGCTGTAATAACTCAAAAATAAAAGGTCCGAAAAGAAAATCAATCTATTTCCACTGATGGAGGTGTTTAAAGTCAAATTAGGGATGCTCACATATCTAAATCCGACGGATTTCGATCTGATTTGACCCGATTAGTTTGGACTTTTTTTAAAAAAATGGATTGGGTCGGATCGAGTTGTTTAGAAAATATATATTTGGATCTGACTCAAGTTTAGAGAGAAAAATATTTGACCCGACTCGAAAAATAATGTAAATTTAACTTATATATTTAGGGATAATTACAATAATAACCCTCTCTATATATTATTTCCCCCAATTAGATCTCTATTTTTATCGAATAAGAATTTATTTTGAGTTGAGTTTGGTTGAATTCGGTTTTTATCTTAAAAATCGGGTTATGTTCTGATCAGACGAAATTATTCTATACTCAGGTCAGTCGGGTTTTAGAAGAAAGATATATCTCTTTCAGTTCGAGTTGGGTTGATCGAAAATCCAACTTGACCCTATCCATGCCCATCACTAAGTTAAATACATGCACTTAGCCCCAAGTCATCAGCTTCTCGTGTTCCAACTGATCGTCTGATTTTGGTTGTGAATCAATTGGTTTCTGGTCAAGATTGGGGGGCGAAAACTTAATGAACTCTTAATTTGTATGCACAATGCTTTCAGAGTTCAGGTAAGCCACACGATATGGCTTGCATACATTAGCCATTGAGTCAGGTCTAAGCCTCATAAATGCACATAAATGAACCGAATATATTCCATTATAGGGCGCAGACTTAATGAGTGTGTTCCTCCGCCAGTCAATAACCCACATTTTTCTAACTTTATATGGATCACTTTTTAACTTTCGATCATAACCCCGATAATATACGTGACGGCTTTGCATGCATGGATAGAACCAAGGAAGAGAGGTCTTCCATGAGGGTAAGAACCCTGTAGGGTAGCCAAGGATGACTTGCCCGCACCTCACAAGCTGTTCGTTTTTTCTTCACAAAGGTTATGATATTTCTTCACTGAAGACCTGTTTGGGGTTGCAGGGAATCATCCTTGGCTTAGCTGACATGTTCTTCTCTTTCACGGTGGACCTTTCTCTTCATCCTTTGAACAAGGACCATATCTGAAGTATTCTTTTTACACATTGGAAACTAATTTAGACACTGACATTTGTTTGTTTGTTCAAGCAAACCAGATTGATTCTCTAACATTCATGGTTTTTAGTGCATGTTTTCTTATGATCAAAATAGAAGATGAAGCTAACATACAATTATTAAAATTTTATTTATTTTTATTACAATCACTCACATAGATGAAGCTAGAATAAAACATTGAGGGATTAAATTATTTTTTATATTTAAACAAGGTTCTATGAAGTATTTAAATAAAAAATTAGGAGGGATGAAAATCCTATTTGACTAATATTTAAACTAAAAATAACTTACATTAGTGACCTCAGTGGTAAAATAATTGTTATTTTTTCTTAAGGTCTTAAGTTTGAGTAGAGATGGCAATATGACCCGAACCGACGGGGAAACCCGAAACCCGGTCAAGTTCGGGTCGGGTCGAGTTGAATGATATCGGGTCGGGTTCGGGTTCGGGGATTTTTTTCGGGTCGGGTTCGGGGCAAAGTATCCCCGCCCCGCCCCAATTATATATATATATATATATATAATATTTTATATTTTTATATTAATTATATATATATAATATTTTATATATTTTATATATTTTATATTAATTATATATAAAATATTTTCGGGTTCAGGTTCGGGTATAATATTTCGGGGACGGGGCAAAAAAAATCCCCGACGGGACGCCCCGATAAAAAATCTGTCAGGGATCGGGTCGAGGTCGGGGATGGGGATTCATTTTGGGTTCGGAGACGGGGCGAGCAAAATCCGCCCCAAACCCGACCCGTTTCCATTCCTAAGTTTGAGTATCAGAAATACCAGGAATGTGAGCGCAGGGACGGAACTTCAAATTTATTATAGTAGGGGTTAAAATATTTTTTGTTATTTTATAAGTATAATATTTTAGTTGAAAGGTGAGGGACTTGATAAATTTTCTTTTATTTATTTTTAGATATATATAGATGAATTCTTATTGATGTATTCCAACAAAACAAATGAAACAATATGTACAAAAAGCTAATAAGGTCACCGGCCCTATATCAGTAAACCCCAATTCTCACATATATCATTATGCTTAAGCAACTGCCTATGTCTTACTCTCCTTTAAAATACATACACTTTTAATATTAATTAATACTTAAAAAATAATTAATTAGGGCTAAGGCTCTCCTTGAACCCCATAAATAGGGTTGTAAATGAGTCGAGCTGAGTTCGAGTATTGTTGAGTTTGACTCGAAATGAAACTTGACTCGAAAAACCGCGAGCCTGAAATTTGTAAGATCGACTCGAACTCGAAATCATGAACTGAAGCTCGTCAAAGATTGAAAAGGCTCGAAATGGGGGGAAAATCTTAAACTTAACTCGATTAAAGCCTCAAACTCAAACCTAAACCTTATATTGTATTTAAAAAAACAACACATAAATGTTAATATTATTAATAATTTAATTTTTTAAAAATAAAATTTGAATATATTATATTTTCGAGTTGCTCACGAGCTTTTCGAGTTGAGTATCAAGTAGCTCGTTTCGGCTCGTTAAGAACTTGAGTCGAGTCCATTCGAGTCGAATAACTCGCGATCTATCTCGTCTCATTTACAACCCTACCCATGAAGTTTCACCTCTGTGTGAACGTTTCAATGTTAATTGGTTGAGAGATATCTTTAAATATATATTACTTTGTATAACTCCAAATTAATAAAAATAAAACTAAAACTAACTTAAAATATCATTATACCAAAAAATTTGAAAGAAACAACGTCCAATCTCAACCATTAATAGATTCGTCGATGACTCAATTGTCGTTAATAAATATTGACTAACATATTAAACTCAATCTCCTACCCAGGGACGGAGTCACATAGGGACTGCGGTCTGCGAGGCACTTTTATAGGGTGTATTCGGTTCAGTTCGGTTTTTTATTAAAAATTAAATTGAATCGAAATAAACGGTTTTTCAAAATTTAAATCAAAACCGAATGGTTAAAAAAACGAAAAAATTGAAACTGATTTTTTCGGTTCGATTCGGTTTTTTTAACGGTTCGGATTTTTCGGTTCTGTTCAATTCGGTTATCGGATTTTCAATGAAAAAATCACTTGAAACTATAATTTTTTTTTAAAAATTGCCTATTTGTTTCAATATGGAATAAATGGGTTTCATATGAAAAATCTGAACCGAACCGAATCAAAAGAATTGAGACTTTAAACCGAATCAAAAACCGAACATTATAATAGCGAACCGAACTGTTTTACTCGATTCATATCGATTTTTCGATTTTCTCAATTTCGTTGCTCAGCCCTACGTCTTATCCATCCCAAAATTTTTTGTTTAATAACAGTTTAAGTCTTTATCGGTTTAAATTTAAATAAAAGTTAACTTTTGACCCCAAACTTTTATATTAAATACATAATAAATCCTTATTATTTTGAAATTAAATATATTCTCCATTCTAGTATTTAATCCTAACTCCGTCGATCCTACCTAGAAAACTCTAAATTCTCAAATTAATAGAAAACCACCAAATCCTTTCATTTATATCATCACCGTATACTTCTTATATTAAAAATTTGTACCATCATTTTATAACTATTAAACCATTCATTAGGGCTGTTCATTCGGTTAATTCCGTGGTCGAACCGATCGAATTACCATTAATCGAATTAATCAAATTTTTTTAACCGTTAATCGAACCGAACTTTTTTTCGAAAATATTAATCGAACTAAATAAATTTCGGTTAATTTTCGAATTAACCGAAAATTTTTAAAATTTTCTAATTTATATAAAAATTAAATATTTTATAATTCAAAAAAAAGTTTATAATTAATTTAAATAATATATAATTATAAAATAAAAATTTTATATAATTTTTTAATTAATTAATATTGATTTAAGTTTAAAATTTATTGGATCTTAAATTATTAATTGGGTTTTAAAAGGTTTGGGCTGAGTCCATATGTTATATATAATATATTTAATATTTTTTAATTCAGAAAAACAATTTACAATTAATTTAAATAATATATAATTATAAAATAAAAATTTATATAAATTTTTTAATTAATTAATATTGATTTATGTTTAAAAGTTATTGAATCTTAAATTATTAATTGGGTTTTAAATGGTTTGGGCTGAGTCCATATGTTATATATAATATATTTAATATTTACAATTTTATTTCGGTTAATTAACCGATTTCGAACCGAATTAACCGTTAACCGAATATCCAAAAAAATCTTAACTATTCCTCGACCGAACTAATTCAGTAGCCGACCGAATTAATTCAATTCAATCGATTAATTCGATTTAAACCGAATTTTAACACCGAATTTTAAACACCCTACCATTCATCATACATCGTTTCATCCAAATCCTACGAAATGTGAATATACTATTTTTTTATTAATATAATCGAACTTTTAGTCAATTTTGTATACTATTATTTGTTATATTTGAAATTATTAGGGCAGGTTGCTTAGCCGTGTCTTGTGACCTGTTCCTCTGATTGGTTAGCCAGCTTAGTTAATTGACAATCGAGTTGGTTCACATTTTTGGTTATGTTTTAAACTTTAAATAAAAATAATAGTTTTAAAAATCATATTTTAGATAAATATCTTTTTGGCATAAAACGATTACTATTATTCAGGGCTCTCTGAGGAAGACGAATAGCATCATTTTCACAGCAGAAGAAGTAATATGAGTTATCAGCGAGTTCCTCAAGATCCTTATTCTCCTCCTGGTATTTAATACTTTCCCCGTTTTGATTTCCTTATTTAATTGTCGTTTATTTGGTTTTTCCTTCAAATTTTTTTACTGTTGAAACAACAGGCTACGCTCCGCGTTATCCTCCACCTGGCTACGCTTCTGCTCCTCCGCTACAACCTCCGTCTCATCAGCCTTACGAAGGCCATCCGCCTCCGCCTCCTGGTTATCCTCCGTATCCTCAACCGCAACGCCCGCCGTACGAGGGTTATCAAGGGTATTTTTCTGAAGGGTATCCGCCGCCGCCACCTGGTCATCCTCAATATCAACACTGCCACCACTACGATCATCACCATCACCAGAATCATTATGATGATGGCTGTTTATCTTTCTTAAAAGGCTGGTACGCACTTTTGTTCCTTTATTTCATTGATCCATTTGTTTGGTGCTAAAAGATCTGATTTTGGTTGTTTAATATGTGAATTTTACAATTCTATAGTTCACGCTTTGAATTTTAGTATTGGGCTACGGAATTGGGTGAGCTAAAAGAATTTTTTGATCAAACTCAAAAGAAACTAGGAAATTAAAAAGGGGGAACTTTCTCTTATGTATTGAGCACTACAGTAGCAATTTGCTCTCTTGGGTTAAGTTAATTTCGGTGGAACTTATCATCTATGTCAGCTTACCCCCTTTTTTTTATGCAAATTGCATCATCACTCTCTTGGAAGTTCATAGGATTTGATGGAGCTTTGTGTGTGTTGCATAAGTATATTTCTTTTATTTAATCCTTAGTTCTTATGTCTCCTCCATAGCATATTTCTTAGTTTAGATCAGCATCATATAGGGTAAGTGCGAGTGTAAATCAGATTTTTTATTTCTCACATGAAGTCCATTATCTATTTTTTTTTTCAGTTCAACATGAAGAGTTTTATATAGGACAGATTGTTAATAGATGTGCAGACCAAATCCATGTATTTTTTCCAGTTCAACACTAGCAGACTTGTTGGGGACAAAACCCTCCCATTTGATAGGGAGATCGCGTTTGAGTTTTAGATTTAGTACTCATATGGACTTGGTCTGACATTTTATCGGACACTTCGGTTAGAGCCTATGGTCACATTGCCTTGACTCGTCATTTTTTTATGTTCAATACTCATGTCCGACACATGGATATGTGGATATGACCTCTAAAAATCCTCCATATACGTTGAAAAACTTATAAAAACCTAACCATACCTGTGTTGTCTTATAAGCTGAAACTCATGCTTAATTTCGTGTAACGTAGGCTAATGCTAATTAGATTAGTCATGCTTGAACATGCGCTTTGCAGTCAGATTGTATGGTTTTCTTGTGGTTTAAGTGTTGTTAGGCTTTGATTAACAACTAAACTTGAACAATAGTGCCCGTTGGCTACCTTTTTATCGTTTACCATTAATAGACCATCAGTTAGATGACATGCATGTTTCGGATGGTTTGCTCAGAGCCGATACTGATGGCATGATGCATTGTTTATATATGTGCAGTTTGGCTGCTCTATGTTGCTGCTGCGTGTTGGAGGAATGCTGCTGCTTCTGCTTGTAAATCGTTCATGGAGGAAAATGCTGCTTTGCACTTCCTGGGGTCTTTTACCATTTTACAAACAATCATATGCTTGTATTATAGTTTATCTACTAAAATCTTTATAAACCCAAGTTTGCATTATGGGTACAGGCTTTGTCGTATATCATGTTATTTGTATCATATGCGTTGGTTTTCAGCATGCTGGTGTTTCTTATGGTTCATAAAATTGTTTTATCTAACTCGGTAACGATGTCGTAGTTTGTTAACATCACAGACCAAGGTTCGAGTCCCGAGTCATCGTATTCCAATTAAGAATGGAAAAATTATTAAAAGATTGTTCTTTGCCAGCACAGTTCCTTTTAGAACTAGACAAAGAACCCATCTTCCACTTCAGAATGAGTATTTCAGCCACCAAGAGGGTCCCCCTGTGCTTGATAAATTTGATTCTGGAAAATACTCGACAGATTCATTTACAGTACAAGGATTACAGATAAACTATTCTCTTGTCATTAAACAGCACTGGCAGCTAAATCACCAATAACCTAAGAATACATGGGAATCAGTTGTCCCAACAAAGTATAACTACTTGTATATAAGAAGGAAACCAAACATGGCAAAGCCAATATGGATACATCTTGTCTATCTTTTCTATGTCCCATCAACGTTCGATATAGATACATCTTGTCTATCTTCTGCCCATCATCGAGGTTGCTTTCCGTTTGGTCGTTTTTGTTTATGATCCCCACTTTAAGGTTCGGCATCTTGCAGTCTCCGAGTGTAACCCCTCAGACCAATACGGATAGTCCAATCCGATCTGGAGTGTCACATTAAGGCCACCGAAGCGACCCACCGTAAAAATAGCAGAAAATTTAAAACTTTTGTCAAAACATGTAACTCATAAAATGGTTTATTATTATTCAGAAATAAAAAATATTTTTCATACTCAGATATAAAACGAAATACAATCTACATGCCCCCTAATCACATGTACCATCCTCTGAAAGCAATGCCGGAAGAACTCCCTTATTGATATCGATAGTTGCACTGGTACAATTCTTTTATCCTGTAATGGTGAGTAATAGAGTGAGTTTCGGTAAGCTCAGTAATACAGAACTACCAGATGATGCAACATGTGCAGATAAATGGTAAGCCATATAATTTCCTTATTGAATCAGACGTATACCTGTTGCAGAATAATCTGGGGTTCTATCAGTAGTTCATCAAGTTGAAGCCATGAATATCACAGTTTATAGGAAGCATTCAAAGTATGACATTTTCAGGAGATCGAATAGGATGTCTAGTGTGTTCCAATCAAAACCAGTGAAAAGATATAAATCTTTTAAAACCATAGTTGAACCCCTAACCAAACTCCATTATACAATTCCCCTGAACTGCATCCATAGGGCTTGCCCTCAGCACACAGCAAAAGGGGAGCCAACCTAAGGATATACCCTGGGGTCTATGGGCCTACTCAAGGATATCCTTAGATCCGTAAGGTTACCTTAAGCACACAGCAAAAAGCAACCAACCTAAAGATATACGTTGAGTCTACCCAAGGATATCTTTTGTTCGTAGGGTTACCTTAAGCACACAGCAAAGGAAACCAACCTAAGGATATGCCTTGGCCTACCCAAGGACATCCTTAGATCTGTAGGGTTACCTTATGCACACAACAAAGGAAACCAACCTAAGGATATGCCTTGGGCCTACCCATGATATCCTTAGATCCTTAAGGACTTACAGCCGAATCAGGGTTGTGCCTCCATACTCCATATTCCTATCCATATAAAAATCCAGTTAAATCAGTTTTATTCGTAAATCGTAATACATGGATCGTGATCCAGTAATATGTCATATTCGTGATCATGAAAAAAATCATATATCAAATTTCCACCTGTACACCATAAGTAGTCAAATGATTAACCCAATGAAGTACCTTGGGTCGCCTACCCAAAGATCCCCTTAGGTCCGTAAGAAATTTCCAGCTTGATTAGAGCTGTACCTCCAGTCTACCCATATAATATCCCAGTAAAACAGTTCGAGTATAACAGCGAAACATAAAACCATAATTCATAAACCAATAGTTTCCATGATTCCATAAATCATAAACAATTTATATTTTCGATAAAACCATAATCATAAATCACTTACCATGTTGCCATGGTTCATAAACCAGTAAATCAATACTTGTATTAAAACTCATTTCAAAACATATAAAACCATCATGTAGTACATATGTAACACACTAGAGAATCCAAGTATTCTTTTCCAGAGGTATTTTTGTAGTTATCGGTATGGATAACATGAAACTTGTGTAATTTGATCAGATTCCATGAATAATGTCCTATTGAAGAGAATCAATTACTAACCGACCTAATTGGATATTTAAGGTTGATACTTTAGAATCCCACTATGATTTCATGTGCATCTAGAAGGCGTTCAGGAATGTCCGGAGTGATTGGAGCTAATCAAGGAGAAACGAATATTCAATACATTTACAATCCATGTTGATCGATCAGTTTATCGAACCATTCAAACTGAACCACTCTCAAAACTAATGCATGTCGACCCATCAATTTACCACATTTCCAGAGTATTCACTCTTAAGTACTAAAAATTCTTGTTCATAATCATCGTTGAATAAATCTTTGTCCGCTATTTGTGAGTACTATAAATGGTGCGGATATGTGTGTAAGTATACACAATCGAACAAGTAATAAAGTGATGAGTGAGTATCGTTCTCCATAGGGATTGGGGGAAATCAAATAAGTTTGTTATGACACTTTACTCTGTCACCTAAGTAAAGTTAGAGATGGTATATATACAAATGATTATGTTGTGGCAAAATGAATGGATGATATGGAAATGGAACGATGGCAATGTGGTAGCAGATGAATATGTTGTGGCAAAATGAATTGTGTGTAGTGCGATCAAATAAAAATGTAAAGGCAAAATAAACTGTAAATACTTGATTTGCTTATAAGAACTTTAGACTCCTCACACGACAAGCTACTATGGGAATGAGTGATGGGAGTTATCTAGGAAAATCTAAGTCCACTTCTCAGAATGGTTTTACTTCTATGCCTTAACTTCCCGACAGAGTTTACTAAGGGTGCCCTATGCTATCTCTAGTTAAGGGACTCGACAGATTGAAGATGCATTGGCAAAATTGATTGGCGTTAGCTACTACAGGGATCCTATTGGTCCAGATAACAGGATATGTCTCGGCAATACCTTTTTGCGGTAGCATTAACATCTAACATATCGCTCATGCACAACTCCTTTTAGTCGAACGAAATCCTAGCCTTATCTCTAAGGTGGATTAGGCCTAGTTACTATCTAGAACCCCTTGCTTATGTGGTTCCTATCTAGTTTCTCTCGAATACTAAGGATATGCTACCTAGGCATTCTCTCGAACACTAAGTAATCACCTAAGGAATGTCTACTCTCATAGCTCCTATAACCTTAAGGCATTAAAATTCATAAGCAAAACAGATTATAACATAGAAAAACAATCATTCATTAAAGTAAATCTTAAATATCCAAAATAAACTCCCACCAAATAGGATTAGTTCATGGTGGGGTTCGAAATAAGCAAGCACAAAGCAAGTTAATCTGTTCCTTACAACCCAAATAATAAATAACGAAAGAAAAGAGCAAAGGGAAGGAGGAAAAGCCTTCGACGTGCACTGCCTGAGCTTCCCTCGGCCACCACGAACAGTCCCAACGATCTAGCTCTTCTCGGACGCCTAGTTCGCCACTCCTTATAGCCTGTCAATGAAGGAATGCCATTGCAAAAACGATTGACGGGAAAAAGTGAGAACTTTTTCTCCGATTTTTTAGGCTATTGGCGGCTGTCTAAAATCTTCAAATCCCCTCAACAAGTCAAGCTTCTTCTTCTATTTATAGGGGAGAATGAACCTAGGGTTTTGTGTTAAAATTACCCTTGCACCCTAAAGTTCATTCCTTTTATGCGAGAGTTGGTGCAAAGATGGTAATTGGCCCCTCCTTTAATGTTGATTGCAGAAAACACTTTTTATGCCATGACAGATGGCTCTTACTAAAAATATATTCTTTGACTTTTTCTGCCCAGAAATGCCGTCTGAGATGTCGCGGTAATCGCATTTTGCTCAGTAGTCTCCTTATGTCATGGAATTTCCCTTTTGCTTTTCCTTGCTCCCAAATCCTGCACATCATTAAACAAAACACCTTCCCCATAATGCAACACTGATTACAAAATAAAATACCGCGACAAACATAATTTCACCACATGCAACTATATGCTCCTAAATGCATCTATATGATCCTAAATGGGCTTTTAGACAATCAATAACTTAAGTGAAAAGGTCCCAAATATAACCTTTTTATGGAGTTATCACACCCCCAAACTTAAGCTATTGCTTGTCCTCAAGCAATGGATAGTATTAAGCAAAATAAAAATACATTGGCAAGTTCAGAAGCAGAATAGTTATATGGTATATAATTTCAGCCCTCAGAACATTTGGCTTCAACATGTTAGACTAGTTTGAGAAATCAAGTATTGTTTCCTAGGGCAAGATTCTTTATGTGGGTGTGTGCGTGTTTGTATCCAGTCCATGCTTAACAAACCTAAAAATTTTCTACGCAAGTTTTTCCTGTTTTGCCATGACATTTACAATTTTTACTCCCACATTGTTTTCTTTTCCTTTTTGCTTTTTTTTAACAATGCTACGAGGGGAGTCAGTCCATCACACCTACCATCCCACACTCTAGGTGAAAGGGAGCATACCTTCCACTCCCCGAGCTAGTCAGGTAGAGTCATCCCGTGACTACTTTCATTCACTCATATACCATAGCTTCCATTTATTTATTTGTAGTTTCCAGGAAATATCATGGCATAGCGGAGTATCCCTCTATAGATATGCCGAAGCATTTATTCACAGCTTCATTTTTTCTTTTTCTTTTTTTTCTTTTCTTTTTTTTACAAAGTGGGGTTTTCATCGTTTATGCCAAGACATGTAAGAGTTCTCTTATAAAAAAAAATCAAGTTTCTTAAGCATGAAAAATATACAATCGTGTATTCAAAGGTTTCAAAGAAGCAAGTCCTAGAGTTGGTTCTATCATCCTCAACAGTCATGTATATTAAATCCTATCCATCAAGAGTTCATCATCATCGGGCATCATTAATTAATTCCAAAAAACCCATTCAACCACTTACTA